GGAGCTCCCTGGGGTTGGGCAAGGAGAAGGCCCCAAGCCCAGCCCTCGCCCTTCCCCTCCACCTAGGCCTGGCCCTGAGCCCTCAGCCTCTGGCTTATTTTCTTGAACCAGAGAGCATGAGGGGAAGGGTCCTGTGACTCTACCCACTCCACCTTTGCTCCACCCACTCCACCTTTACTCCATTATCTAGAGAAAGGGATCAAGGAACCTCTCAGCCCAGAGAAGGGGGGCCCTCCAAGCCCACACCCCCACCACTCCTGGCTCAGACAGCAGAGGCTTAGCCCAGGGGGCACTGGCCTGCACCTGCTGTTGGGTGTGGCCCTGAGTAGGAGCGGACAGGCCGGGGGGCTTCTTCCTCCATCTGGGGCCAGGGGCCCGGGGGTGGGCTGGGCTGGTGTCTGGGAGGATGAGGGGCTGACTGCGCAGAAGGCCGTTGCCCTGTGCCCACTCACCTGCACCGTCTCTATGACGATGGAGAAGGAGTCGTCCCAGCAGTCCCTGGCCAGCAGGTACTGGCAGACCCCGCTGAAGGTGAAGTATCTGTTGTCGAAGCTCTTGAAGTGGGATTGGCCCGTGACGAAACACTCCCCTGGAGGGACACAGAGGGAGGGGGCAGGGGGCAGGAGGTGAGGGGTGTGTCCTGGGGAGGCACACACAAGTCTCTCCCAAAAACCAAAACATTCTTCCCCCACCCCAGTCTGAAAGCCAGGGACCCTGACACCCTAAGGTGTGGGAGCTGGGTCACTCAGTGCAACGCCTCTCTTTACAGATGCTATGCAAGGTGACAAAGCCACACCCAGGGCTCCCGCTCCTGACACCTGCTGCCTCCACTCCTGCCCTACAGCCCTCGTAGCGGCCATGGCTTCTCCCCTGAGGGCCTGCAGTGCCCAGCCCAAATCAAGGCTGTCAAACCTGGCAAACTTCTAGGAACTGGCTCATGGAGGGGCTTGGGGACACTTCCCCACCCCAGGAGGTCCCCAGGGACCAGCGGGCACAGTGACAGCCCAGAGGTGGGGGGGAGGCTGGACAGTCTTGGGGCTCTGCATCCCGGCCCACAGCTGAGGGGCAGCTAGGAGGCCTCCTGCGACCTGAGGCTGAGACCTCAGTCAGGGGGAGAGCAGGGCAGGAGACCATCTTTCCATGACGTCACTGCCGCGCTGACCTCGGACGCACTTGTGGTTGCGATTTAGGACTCCCCGGAAGCTCAATGCCAACATGCGGCACCCCCAGTCACCTGCCACTCCGTCCTCTCTCAGGCCCCCACACGTTCTGCAGGGGGTCCAGGCAGGGGCAGCCTCTGCCCACGTCCCCCGTGACTGTCTATCAGCAGCCCCAGCTTGGGGCCACCCCAACTTCCGGTGCCCTCAGTGAGCAAGTGGACGCGGGCATGGAGGTCTGGGTCCCTTCCCAGCCTCGCTTTTGGTGTCTATGCTCGCCTTTGCCGCCTGCCCCTGCCCCATCAGGCCACCCCCAGCCTCCCAGCCCGGTTCTCCTGAGAGGATCCAACAGCCACCCTGTCCTGGGCCCATCTCCAGGGCCTCAAAGGCCACAGGGAGACTCCAGCTGTCCGTCTGCAGGGGAGGAGCCTCTAGCACCCCCACCCCCACCACCTGCCACCTCCAGCCAGGTATGGTCCTGCCTCAGGGCGTGGGGTGAGGGACCCTCTCACTGGTACCCAGGGCAGCTGACCCTGTGCGGGATGAAACAGGCCAGGAGGGAGAAAGCAGAGAGGCCCCAGACGGCTGTCAGCACTCACTCACAGAACCCGGAGCAGGAGCCACAGACAGGGGCGCGCATATGCTGGAATTCCACACCCAGTCCTTCTCAGCCACTATTTTTCAGAAATCGCCATTGTTCCACTGCGGTCACTGTGTCAAAGGTCCCGACCCCATTGCAGTCAAACGGGTGGGACTTCTCCCCCCCCCCCCCCCGCCCGTCTCTGTTTTCTCACGCCTATCTGAGCAAGAAACTGGACTTGGGTGCTCCTTACCAATGCCTGGGCAAGAGGGGGCAGCGAGACAAAGTGCGAATACTCAGCAGCAAAGCAGCTCATCCCCCCTCTGATCTCCTGCTCTCGCCCCCACTGACTGCTCCCCCGTGTCTCGGGGCTCTCTCGTCTCAGTATTATATTTGGCTCATCTCCTTGGTACAGTGGAGGCACGGAGCAGCAAGTGCAGGAAGCCCAGAGGAACGCAGGGGAGACCTACTGGGGGCAGGCGGTCCCAGGAGGCGACATCGGCGGAGCAGCCGCTGCACAGCCTTGCCTCCCCGTGCTCTGCCATGACAATGACCATAGGCAGTGGGCCAGCCAGCAGAAGGGAACTCCCGACACACAGTGGGCCCAGACAGACGCAGGCACTAGACTCCAGGAGAATGAAAGAAAGCAGGCAGAATCACGGGAAGTGAAAGCCGGTCCACTGAGGCCATGCGCCTGTGTTGACATGCTGCCCTGCACCCCACAAACCTGCCCAGGACTCGCATGTCAATCAAAAATTCTTTAAAAAATTTTTCCAGTAAACACCCATCAGTGTGGAGAGCGTTCTATGTGATAAGGTCAGTTTTGTTTTGCTTTGTTATTTTTTAAGGTTTATTTCTTTATTTGAAGGAGAGAGTTACAGAGAGAGAGAGATATCTTCCATCCCCTGTTTTAGTCCTCAAATGGCTGCACCAGCTGGGACTGGGCCAGGCCAAAACAAGGAGCCTGAAACTCCACCCAGGTCTCTCAGGTGGGCACAGGGGCCCAAGCACTTGGGCCATCTGCTGCTGCTTTCCCAGGAGCATTAGCAGGAGGCTGGACTGGAAGTGGAGCAGCCAGGACTCAAACTGACACTCCAGTATGGGATGCCGGCCCTGCAGGTTACAGCTTAGCTCACTGTGCTAGAACACCAGCCCCATCAATCAAAAAATTTTTTTAATTTGTATTTATCTATTTGAACGGCAGAGAGACAAGGGGGGAAGACAGTAAAAGAGAGAGACAGAAAGCTCCATTCTGTTGGTTCACTCCCCAGAGGCCCACAACAGCCAGGGCTAAACCAGAGCAAAGGTGAGAGCCAGGAGCCCCATCCGGCTCCCCCATGGGGGCAGCAGGGACCACCCCTGCAAAGGCCAGGCTGGTCTCCCCTGGGCCTGCGCCTGGGTCCCAGTCCTTCTCTCTTCCCACGCCCTGTGAAAATGATAGCAGCTGTGTGGCATCATTGCCTCACAACAGCTGTGGGGTGAAGCTAAGGTGAGGATCCCCATTTTAGAGATGCAGAAACTGAGGATGGGAGACATTAAGTAACTGACCAACAGTCACCCTGCTGGTAACCAGAATCCTAGCCAGGCTGCCTGAGTGAGCCCAGCTGCTGTGTCCCCTGGCCCCATACCGGGCCACCTTTACGTGGGCTTTTGGACACACATGACCAGCCCTCTGTGTGCCCCTACTGAGTTCTAGAAAGGTACCTTGCACACCCTTCCGCTGGGAGCCGGTTTGTCTAGCCAGAGTGTTAGTCCTGGGAGGAACTGCTCCTATGGACAGTTCCTTCTACCAGCTTTCTGGCCAAACACTCAGTGCAACTGAACGAAACCTGCAAGGCTTCCCTGGCAATGCCTCTTGCAGAAGAAGGGAAGAGAAACCCAGAGTGACAGAAAGGGAAGTCTGTAGGCTCTGGGAAACCACAGTTTGCCCAAGGCTGCTGTAAGTAGCAAGTGTGCAGGGAGCGGTGAAAGCCTGGGCCATGTCAGAGGGCGCACCTGCTTCTCCCCAGCCCAGCCTGCTGCTCGCCCGGGCACCTTCTCACCCGCCACCCTTACTCGACCCTCTCTGTCCCAGGGAGCCTCCAAGGCAGCCCCCAGTGGTGGCCAGCCCCTGCGTTCATGTCCTTGGGTGACCGCCCCTCCCCACGCATGTGGACTGCACACGTTGCCTTGTTCCGAGCGACCACGTTACGGCAGAAGTGATGGGGCGTCACCTTGGGGGTTAGGTTTCAAAAAGCCCGAGGCTTCCGTCTTGGCTGCCTCTCTGTTTTACTCTCGTGACACCACTTTCTTATCATAACCTGGGGCGGTCCCACTGCATGAAGCTTAAAACCCTGTGCAACCGAGTCGAGGGGTGGAAACTGAAGAGGAGTGAGTAGAACACAGCCTTCTTGAATGGGCTAATTCTGTTACTGCAGGAGGGACTTTGTTACCTCAAGATGGGGCTTGGCCCCTGTACCTCTCCCCTCCACCACCGTGGGGTGACACGGCGAAAGAGCCCTCGCCAGATGCTGGCACCATGTTCTTAGATGTCCCAGCCTCCCAGGTGCATGAGCCAAAGAAATCTCTGCTCACAGAGATGACCCAGACTGCGGGGTTCCGTTCTAACAGCGTAAGATGGACAAAGTCACCTGCCCACCAGCACATGGGTGAACCTGAAAGTGATCCCTTTCATCCCCGTCAAGCCTTCAGATAAGGCCACAGCCCAGTCAGTAGATGCTTGTTGCTTCCAACTCCAGTTCAGTTCTCGGGCCAGAGGCATTCAGCTAAGTCATTAGCAGGTTCCCAATATATAGAAATTGTGAGATAATGTGTGTTTAAGCTGCTAAATTTGTGGACAATTTATTGCATAGCAGTAGGCAACAAATACACTCTCATCTTTTTCCAGAAACCAAACTCCAGGTATCAGTGTCCTAGTTCCCCAATGTCAACTCCAGAGGCTACAGAAAAGCAGAGGAGCCCCCAACATGTCCCAGTATGTTCCAATAGCAAAACTAAGCATAGCCCCTCTCAGTACCTCCCTCGGTCTCCTCTTCCCATCCGCAGCTGCACCTGCAGGCATCACCTGCCTGCACTGTGTGCTGGAGCACTGATAGACTGGTGGGCAAGGACCAGCTAAGCTCCAGGACTCAAGAGGATCAGAGCAGGGGCTTGGAGAGTGAAGAAAGACCTCAGTGGCTTGGCTGGTGAAATATCAAATCACCCAGCAGGCCACATCGAGGCATCAAGAGGATGTCATGCATCCTCAGCAAGCTATTGCCTAGATTTTGAATTGAGGACCAGGGATTGTATTGTCTTCCCCAGGCCAAGCATCCATCATCTGTACACCATGAGTGTTCAAAGAGTGGTTGGATGGATGGGTGAAAACACGGAAAGACGGATAGGTGGATGAATAGAAGGATAGGTGGGTGCATGGATGGACGGATGATGGATAGGTGGGTGCATGGATGGATGAGTGGATGGATGGGTAGGTGTATGGATGGGTGTGGATGAATGGACAGAAGGCCCTCCCTTCAGGAAGTGGTTGTTAACACTTCCTTATCTGGTTGTCTGTTGCTCCCCCATTCGCAGAGGAACGACACAGGACCCTGCGCTGTTCTTTTGTCTGCTCGGCCCTTTCCCAGGTTTGCTGCTGGTCCTTCCTGGGTTGGCTTTGTAGCATAGTGGGTAAAGCCACCACCTCTGACACTGGCACCCCACTATGCTACAAAGCCAACCCGGGAAGGACCAGCAGCAAACCCGGGAAGGGCCGAGCAGACGAAAGAACAGCGCAGGGTCCTGTGTCGTTCCTCCGCGAATGGGGGAGCGACATAATGGTGCCGTGACTCGGATATGAAGCCTAGGAGGGATAATGGTGCCGTGACTCGGATAGGAAACCTAGGAGGATTGAAAGCAAAAGTGAAAGCTAGAAGAAACATAGACTCGGATATGGACTACGGGGAAAAGCTAGGAGAAATCTAAGGTTGAAAGCGAAAGTGAAAGCTAGAAGAAACAGACTGGGATACGGACTGTGGGGAGAAGCCAGGAGAAATGAGAGAGAAATATTGTTGGAAGAAAGTTAGGAAATATACCGGGTAGAGAAAAATATAAGTTAGGGAAAATGAAGCCGTGGGGGTAGGCCGAAGCGGAGACATAAGCTAGGTTGGAATTCGTCAAGTTAGCCCGGGGAGCAAAAGGCGAAAAAACTATACCGGAAGCGGAGACGTAAGCTAGGTTGGCGTTCATCAGATTAGCCCGGGGAGCAAAAGACGGGAAGCCAAACCGAGAAGCGGAGACGTAAGCTAGGTTGCATTTCGTCAGGTTAGCCCGGGGAACTTAGACTGAACACTAAACCGAAAAGCGGAAACGTGAGCTAGGCCGTGATTCGCGGAAGCCACAGAGCGCAGAGAGAGCACGTGGGGCACAAGCGGAGAGAGCGCACGGGGTGCGAGTAGATAGGAGAGCGCGGGGCTGGCACAGAGGCCGTGGTGCGGGCGCGAAGGGCGAGACCGTGTAGGGCGCGGAGACCGCGGAGCGCGCGCGAAGCCGGGAAGCCACGCAGATAAGAGAAGCGCGGGCTGAAGCCACGCAGAGCCGGGAAGCCACCTCGGGGCAGGCGCCGGGAAGCCACGGGGATAAGAGAAACAGAAGTATAGAAGTAAAATGAGAGAGATAGGAATGCTGGCAGATAGAAGTAAAATAAGAGAAATAGGAATGCCCGGAGATAGAGAAATAGAGAAAAATAAGGCCTCCCCACAACATGGCAATGAGAGGGCTTGGATTCGGTCTGCCTGATTAGTAAGGCGGTAAGCACCTGCAGGCAGTATATGCCGCAGGTCACCGAAGATAGGCACGAATCAACATCAATAAGTCTCCCCACAATATGGCAATGAGAAGGCTCGGATTCGGTCTGCCTGATTAGTAAGGCGTTAAGGCAGAGCATGTGCTGCAGGGCACCGAACACAGGCACGCATCAGCGCCTAAAAACCTCCTCACAACATGGCAAAGAGAGGACCCGGATTCGGTTTGCCTGATTGGTAGGGCTTGTAAGCACCTGCAGGCAACTCTAGCAAGCAGAGCAGAGTGTGCACCGTGGGGCACCGAAGACAGGCGCGTATCAACGCCAAAAAATAAAAAGAAAGGGGGAACTGTGGGGAGCAACTGAGACTAGACTAAGTTACTGGAATTAAGACTTATTCTATGCATCTGCTCTCCCACAATATGGCGCTGAGAGAGAGCCCAAACAACCTCTACGCAGCTGCCTCTCGCCAGTTTGACTGATAAGCTGCAGGAGCTGATCCTGCTCCTGATTGGAGGAGAGCAGCGTGCTCGGCGTGTGGGCAGCAGAGTTGGGATTGGTGGAAGAGGACTATAAAGGAAGAAAGAGACAACATGCACCAGGAACATCCGGATAACATCTGAGCAGCCCCCGAGAGAGCCAGCCGGCAGTGTGCCGCTTCTCCGTGGAAGTGGGGAAAGTGGCAGGGGGAGCTGCCCCTCTACGGAGGTGGAGGGGTCGGCAGCCAACCCAGGAAGGACCAGCAGCAAACCCGGGAAGGGCTGAGCAGACAAAAGAACAGCGCAGGGTCCTGTGTCGTTCCTCCACAAAGAGGGGGAGCGACAGCTGTCAGTTGAAAAAGCACAATCAGATGAGTTCCATACACTGTGCCCACAGACCTCACACACTGAATGCCAGCTATTTAGATTCTGAATGTTTCTCCACAGATTGACTTCGTATGTGTTTCAGAGGGCTCCTTAGGTCTTTTATGAGTGTGATGATGTTAAAATGGAGCACCAATATCACTTTCCCTTTTAAAATGGTTATTTATTTATCTGAGAGGGGGAGAGAGAGAGAGAGAGAGAGAGAGAGAGAGAGAGAGAGAGAGAGATTGTAGTCCACAGTTTCACTCCCCAAATGCAGCTGGGCAAAGCCAGGAATGCAGGTCTCCCACATGGGTGGCATGGACCCAGCTACTTGAGCCATGGCCTGCCTTGCAGGGTCTGCATTAGCAGGAAACTGGGGTCAGAAGCCAAGGCAGGTCTTGAACCCAGGCCTGGATGTGGGAGATGGCGGTCTCAGCCACAACACGCCCTCTCCCAGACACCACTCTCAAGAGCAGTCTTCGGTCCTTCCTGCTTTTTCCAAGGATTACTCAAAGCTCACCTGGCTGTTCGGCTTTCCCTGTGCTAGAATAACTACCCTGGCCCTAGAACCCACTTGCCACCACATTCCAGAACTTTCCCAACTTTTTCTTCATTCCAGAACTTTCCCAGAGTGCTCTGAATAAGACCCTAAGTGGCCCTAATGCCTTTAATCCACAGATCTCACATTTGACCCAAGCTCAGCCCACTTCTAGCCCACCAAAGTGTAGCATGGGCCAACGAGGACAAGGAAGAGCAAGGGCTGGGTGGAGGTGTGAGTGCCAGCTCTGCCTCTTAGCAGCTGTGTGGCTCTGGGCGATTATTCAGCCTCTCTGGGTCTCTCCCTCTTTCAAAGATGAGAATCAAATGCACCTGCTCCGTGGGTTTAGTAATGAGGTCACCCACGGAATGTACTCAGCACGTAGACAACGTCATGCCAGTAACCCCAGATGGAAAGATCAGATCCGGGGTCTTGGAGGAGTAAGGCGGTAGGGCGCTCTGAACAGGCTACGTTTGCAGTAAGTGGAATACAGCTGGGGCCACACACAATGGCCAGAGGTTGTAAAACAATTTTTCTGAAACAGATTTCCCAGGGCAGGACTAGGGGGTGGGAGGATTCACTTTGTGGCCTGGTTCTCTTAGCTCTTGGGCTAGGCCTGGGTCTTCATATCAAGCATTGCAGAAAATGCCGTGAAAACTCTCTCTTCCAGCCTCTCCATCTCCTCTTCGTTTTCCAAAAGAGTGCGCATGTTCTGTGATTAGTCAGTCAGGACTCTACAGGTCCTCCAGCTCACCCGCTGGTAGTGAGAAGACAACACCACTTTAGCCCTGGTGCTCAATCCATTTCTGCTGTTGCAAGGGTTCCCCTCCTCTGGCCCAAGCATGGATTAGCATAGCTGGAATCTGAGAGCAGCGCCGGGGCCGGGTGGCTGAATCCCACCTGTGCAGAGGACCAGCCTGTCCATGCAGAGAAGGGAGGGAATACACGCGCGGTCCCCTACCTGGGCATTCTTCGTTGCTGCAGACCCACTGACTGTTGCGGCAGATGCTGTTGGGGAAAGAGACACAGGTCACTGGGAGTTGTGCGACGCCAGGGGCCAGGCACGGCTTCGAGCTCACCACCATTGTAATGGATTCACAGCTCCCCATCCCCCCAAGGGAGGGATCTGGAAGCTGATGCCAGAGGAGTCTTTAGGAGAGTAAAGGGCTTTGGCCACAAAGGAATGCCAAGGAGATGAAACCCTTACAGAGAAAATAGAACAAGATGACCTAGGTAACTGATGTCCCAGGAAATCTACTCAGGTCCCAAGAAGTCAAATCCCTCCGGACACACAGAGGCTGGTGGGAAAAGCAAGAGAGCGGCTACGTGCTCCTGGGCAGCCCCCACACACACTCCGCAAGGCTCAGGGAGAGCCAGGCTGCCACGAGGGGAACGAACAGAGGGGAGGGACGTGCAGACGGAACCCCGAGTTAGTGTCCCCAGTATGCAGGGGACAGGGAAAGCTAGCTCAAGGTGATATTCCGAGGAGCTGCTTAAGGGGCTGACTTGAGCAACACAGACTCAGGAGCCCAGGCTGTGCCTAGCCGAGTGCAGGAGCCCTGCAGGGCAGAGCTGCACAGGGTCTGCTGGGTACAGCTGCCTCCTACCAGTGCGTAGGCAAAGGACGCAAGGAGGGAGAGAGTGCCAGCCACAGAGCCACTTGATGATTGTGTTAGAGTCCCTCTTCAGGGAGACAGGGACCTTTGTTGTTGTTGTTGTTGTTGTTGTTGTTTTAATTTTCATTTGAAAGGTAAAGAGACAGAGGAGATAGATGGAGAGAGGTCTTCCATCTACTGGTTCACTCCCCAAATGCCCACAACAGCCAGGGCTGGGCCAGGCCAAAGCCAGGGGCTCAGTCTGTTAGTGGAGATGGCTGGAAAAGAGGTTCTCGTCTTCCCATGAGAACAGAAATTCAGACATGAGACAGAGTAGCGGCAGACAAGGTAGTAAGAGCTAATAAGCTAGTGCATGCAGCAGGCAGGCCTGCACCCAGACCGGAGCTTACAAGGGAATGGGGCCCAAGTCTTCCCCCCTACCCCTTCTCCTGGACAAATGGCTTCCTGGGTGTGAAACTGATAAGGGGCCAGGCGCTGTGGCGTAGCGGGTAAATCTGCTGCCTGCAGTGCAGGCATCCCATAGGGGTGCCAGTTCAAGTCCTGGCTGCTCCACTTCTGATCCAGCTCTCTGCTATGGCCTGGGAAAGCAGTAGAAGATGGCCCAAGTCCTTGGGCCCCTGCACCCACATGGGAGTCCCTGAAGAAGCTTCTGGCTCCTGGCTTCTGATTGGCCCAACTCCAGTTGTTGTGGCCATTTTGGGAGTGAGCCAGCAGTTGGCAGTCTCTGTCTCTCCCTCTCTCTCTGTAACTCTGCCTTTCAAATAAATAAATAAATAAAA